TTTCTTTTCTTTGTTTATATTTGCCTTGCCTTGCTTGGATTGCCAAGAGTTGTGGGTTAAACCTCTTAGGAAACCCTCACGAGAGCTTACTCGTCCTCTTTGGCGACATGGGGGTTTAAAGGGCTTGATGCATACGCTAAATGCATTCATGATTTCTACAACAGTGAGTTAGTGTACATTCTTTCTCTCTTTGTTTTCTTTCTTTGAATAAGTGAGTCATTTTCCCTTTTGTTTCGTTCTTGTTTTGCTTGAGGACGAGCAAAGGTTTAGCTTGGGGAAATTTGATGAGTGACATGTATGTCACTCTTAGGGTAGTGTTTATGCTTTGTTTTAGCTTGTCTTAAGGTGTTTTGTAGTTGTTTGGTTCAAATAATGTGTTCATACATGTCTCGATGTGTATTGGATGAAATCGCGTACATGCTTAAAAGCTTCCCTTATTGCGTGTTTTTACCGTTCCCTATACCTTATTGCTTCCCTTAGTGCTTGTGCTTAGCTATTTGAAGTCTTGGATTGCAAACAAGATGACAAGTAAGCACAAGAATAGAATAGAAGAAGCAAAGTGAGACGGAGCGCAAAATGTGCGCGAGAGATATAAATTTCATAATCGAGGCAGAGAGCTTTGCGCAAGTTGTGCGCGGGAGCACACTCCCTTGCATGGTCGCACAACTCAGCCAGCAAGCTGCAACCCACAAAGGCACGGGTCGGGTCAGGGTCAGTGCGGGTTATTAGGCGGGTCGGGTCAGGGTTAGTGCGGGTCGGTTGCAGGTTAGGGTCAAAGAGGGTAACATTTTATAGGGTCAATACAGGTTCAGGACAATGCGGGTCGCGGGTCGATAATGGGCAGGCCTACAAAATATCAATTAAAATAAATATTGGACAAAGCCATTATTAAATACAAATTAATACAAATTAATCTATATAACTATTTTTACATTATGTATTTTTTTTATCAACTAAATTCGAAAAACATGTTGGCCCTATATTGACCCTACCCAATAAGGGCCCTGTCCATTAATAGCCCTGTCTACTAATAGCCCTATAATCTTGGCCCTGACCCAATTATCATTGGACTACCCTGTCCAATAACCACCTCTAGAAGCCGCCTAGCGCGGTAGCTGCCTTGCGCGAGCGTATAGTTTTGTGCGAGGGCGCACAACGAGCCCTGTTCAGCGTTTTTGAGCGATTCTATTTATATTTGGGGGCTTGTTTTTGTACGGGACTTATTCATATTATTAGATATTTTTCTCTAGTTCTAGGAGAGCTTCTATCTCTATGTTTAGCTTAGGATTAGAGTAGTTTAGAGAGAGAAAATGAGGATTTCACCATTGTTGAGCTTAGGTCTTGAAGAGGAAGATTGATCATCTTGCTTGTAGACTTTCACCTTTAATCAATGAGAATCTCTTACTGTTTCTCCACTATTTTTATTGCTTTCTTTTTATTATTGTTTTTGTTTTTAGTATTGCTTATTAATCTTGTTGATGTTTGGTTATTTGTTAATTAATCTTGTTATTGGCATTATTAGTGGGTAATTTCTCCATTAAGGGGATGATTGTGGTGTAGTTGGATTGACAAGGTAAAGTCGTATCCCCATAATCAAAAGTAATTCCTAAATCCTCTAACTAATGTAGATAGGGAAGTAGGGTCGAATCCACAGAGAAACGAGTCTTTCTATTCCTAATTAATTAAAGTAATCTAAATTGTAAAGTAACCAATATGTAAATTTGGATATGAAACTAAAATACGAAGATTAAGAATAAGGAGAAAACATTGAATAAAAGGTCTAGGGCATAGGTTCACTGATAAATAATATTCCAGGGTAAAATATAATAATCAATCATCAATGCATACATTAATCAGATCGTAAAGGGCTTTCGCTATGTATTACAATCACTCAATTAATTTACCAGTATTAAACCTCATCTCTCGAATCTCGACTTAACCATTTATAAATTAACCTGCCTATAGAAACTAGACCTAAACATTAATTCTCATATGTCGAATCTCGAATCATTATTGTCAAACTCATGCATAAAAGATCTGCGCAAATCTAGTCACAAAGCATTAAATCAATCAATAGGAAATTAATCTAGCATTGACAATTAACAACAATAAATTATCCCTTCATATTATTTGTGGATCCCCATAAATCCTAGAAATAGAACTACTCACACATAATAAAAACTAAACTAATCAAAGCAATAAAACAAGACAAAAGGGTTCATTAGCAGCGTTGACTTTCTCTCTTCTCTCTCTTCTCCATGGTTCTTCATCTTTGATTGGTTTCTTCATCAATTTTGGATTTCAATGGCTAAGAAGAAGAATCTGACTACTTCTAAACCTCAAATAACGCAACAGAAGAATGCTCATGAAGCTTATGACTCGATTTTGCATAACTTGAGAAATTCAGGTACTTCATTCGTTCCTAGTCCGATTCAAGAGGTGAATGGAATTGGTTACTCCGGCGCCGGCGTTAGTGCACCCAGCATGTGGAGCTATTCCCAGAAGTGATGCTGAGACAATTTCCCTGTTTGCTGAAGCCACGGCTAGGCCAGAATCGAGGCATTCCATTGGAACAGTACCTAGGGTTTCTGGGTTTACTGTTCCATTGGTTGCTGGTGGATCTAAGCAACAATCTGAGCCAATAATTTCTCCTCGCCATTCCTCACCTTCTCTGGAGCAGAATACGCACAAGCACAGTAAGGATCGGGCTGCTTCTTCACCCTCTCTGGAGCTACATTCGCGCAAGCATAATGAGGATCGGGCTGCTCCTTTTGCTGGGAATTTGGCTGTCAATGGAGCTTCTCTATCTTTTGTTGCTCCGAAAGTCCAGGAAGGGAAGCAAATTGCTGTGTTACAGGAAGCCGAGCTTGAGGCAGGTAATCAAAAATGGGCTAATGCTCTAGTTTTCTATGTGGTTGGCTTTAACCCTACTATTGCTGCTGTTCTTCATTTTTTGCTCAACAATGGAGTGATATGCAAAACCCAGATGTTAATTGGAATGATGATGGGTACTTTATCGTTAATCTTTGTTCTAGTGATGATAAAGATACTATACTTTGTTTTGGTCCTCATATGTTCCTTGGAAAACCAGCAAGAGTGAAGCCTTAGTGTCCTAAATTTGACTTTAATGCTGAAATTCTTAGAACTATTCCTCTTTGGGTTAAGTTTCCTAATCTCCCACTTAATTGTTGGGGATCTGACACTCTTAGCCGCATTGGTAGTTTGCTTGGAGTGCCAATTTGTGTTGATGAGTGTACTACTAGACAACTTAAAGTGTCTTTTACTAGGGTCCTAATTGAAATTGATGTTACAAAGCCTATGCCTAATTCTGTCTTGGTTGAGATTCCTTCAAAGGAACTATTGGAGATCAAGGTAGTGTATGAATAGGCCCCATCTTTTTGTTGTAAGTGCAACAAGGTTGGTCATGATTGCTCTATTAAACCTGCTATTGCTAAGTCTAATCAGGTTCCTAAGCAACCAGCTCTGGTTGCTCCTAAGCAAAAGCAGGACTGGGTTCCTAAACCTAGCCAAGCTCCTGCTCCTGCTGTTGATGTCGGTGCTTCTGTTCATGGACAATCTGTCATTACTCCACAAGTTCATACTTCTCAAAATTAAGATGAGGGGTGGAAAATAGTTGGAAGGAAGACACAAAGCCAACAAACTAGAGTTCATCAGCCTGCTTCTACCTCTAATGCTTTTGTTGCTTTATTTGCAAATGAAATGGATGGTGCAGGTGGCTTCACTGTAAATCCAAGCGGGGGTGAGGTTAATCCCCCTTTGGTTTCATGATTTACTCTGTTTGGAATGTCAGGGGCCTGAATGAACCTGGAAAAGTTGCCTCTGTGAAGAGGTTGCTTCATTCCCATTCAGTTGATGTTGTTAGTTTACTTGAAACAAAAATAAAGTTGAAAAATGTTCTCACTTATCAGAGGAAGTTTGGCTCTTCTTGGCTTTGGTTGTGTAATTATGATCACTCTCCCAAAGGGAGGATCTGGCTTGGTTGGAATGCAGATAGGGTAACTGTTAATGTCTTGAAGGTTCATGAACAGTTCATTCATTGTAGTGTCTCTTCTAAGGACCTCTCTACTCAAATTCATCTCACTGTTGTCTATGGGCTTCACTCCATTCATGATAGGCTCCCTTTGTGGGAAGGAATTAGAAGCATCTCTATTCAGCATTCTCCTTGGCTTTGTGTTGGTGACTATAACTCTGTTCTTCATACTTCAGATAGGCTTCATGGTAATGATGTTACTGATTATGAGACTAGAGATTTCTAGAGTGTGGTTGATGATTTGGACCTCACTGAGATCAAAAGCAAAGGAGCCTTTTACTCTTGGTCAAATAAGGCTCACACTGGTCCTAGAACTCTCTCTAGGATTGATAGAGTCTTTGGTAACCAATCTTTGTTAGCCTCTCATGGGCATGTTGAGACTGTCTATCTCCCCCCTTCTTTATCTGATCATAGTCCAGTTCTGTTAGATATTTGTTCTGCCCCTACTGGGAAAGGTAGACCTTTCAGATTTCTAAACTGTATTGCTAATCACCCTGATTTCCTTGATTCAGTTTTGCAGGCTTGGAGTTCTGGTAGTTCAGTTTGGCAGAAACTTAATTATGTGAAGTCTAGTATCAAGTCTCTTAATAGCATCTTCAAACTTAATGGCTAATTTTGAGCTTTCTGGAATTCAAAATTTAATGGCTCTTTGGATTTATATGCTAAAGAATCTGATGCTATTAAGGTTGTCAAACACTGGAATGATATTTAGGAAAGCATCTTCAAACAAAAATCTAGGATCAATTGGGTTAAGCTTGGAGATGGCAATTCTCACTATTTCTTCTCTGTGATGAAGAATAGACAAGCAAGGAATAGAATTGACTCCATCTTTGACTCTAATCAGGTGTTGCTCAAGGATCCAAATGCTATTTCTCATGAAATTATCTCATTTTATAAGTCTATTTTAGGGCCTTAGGCTCCTTGGCTCCCTGCTGTTGACCTTGTCACTATGAGGAGGGGTAAGCAGCTTAGCTTTGCTGCTCAGAGCTACGTCATTAGGCCAATTTCTCATGCTGAAATTGATGCTGCCCTTAAGGGAATTGATAACACTAAAGCTCCTGGTATTGATGGATTTAACTCCTTTTTCTTTAAGAGAGCTTGGCATATTGTGAAAGCTGATATTTATGCTTGTGTTATTGATTTCTTCACTAAAGGGACCTTGCCTAATCAATGGAATTGCACAACTATCACTCTTGTTCCTAAAATCCCTAATGCTTCTCATGTTAAGGATTTTAGACCTATAACTTGTTGTACTGTGGTTTATAAGCTCATTTCTAAAGTCATAACTGCTAGGCTTGCTGCTATCATTGGTGAGGTGATTGATGATGCTCAGGTAGGGTTCATTCTAGGCAAGCACATTGGTGACAATATCCTTCTTGTTACTGAATTGATTAAAGGCTATGATCACAAATTTATCTCTCTTAGATGCATGGTTAAGGTGGATTTGAAGAAAGCCTATGATTCAGTAGAGTAGGGATTCTTGATCACTGTTATGCAGGAGCTTGGTTTCCCTCGGAGATTTGTTAGCTGGATCTGGACTTGTCTTACTTCTATCTCTTATTCTATTCTTATTAATGGTTTTCCTGCTCCTCCCTTTGAAGCTAAGAAAGGATTAAGACAAGGTGACCCTATGTCTCCCTTTCGTTTTGCTATTGGTATGGAATACCTCTCCAGATGCCTTGATGAGCTTAGGTTAACTCCTGATTTTAACTTTCATCCTAGATGTGAAAAGTTAAACCTAACTCACATGATGTTTGCTGATGATCTATTGATGTTTTCTAGAGCTGATAGTGTTTCTGTTAAGCTCCTCTTCCAAGCCTTCTTGAAATTCTCGGGTGCCTCTGGGCTTTCTGCTAATCTTGATAAAAGTGAAGTCTATTTTGGAGGAGTTTCTGTTGATGTTCATAAAGAGCTGAGGGAGATTCTTAGTTTTTCTCAAGGTACTATCCCTTTTAGGTATCTTGGGGTCCCTCTCTCTTCTAAGAAGCTTATTATTGTTCAATGTAGGCCTTTGGTGGAGAAGGTGACTGCTAGAATCCAAGGGTGGATGGTTAAACACTTGCCCTATGATGGGAGGCTTTAATTGGTGAAGAGTGTGTTGTTTGGTATTCAGACATATTGGGCCCAAATTTTTATCTTGCCGAAGAAAATTCTGAAAGAGATCGAGGCTAGGTTCAGATGTTTTCTTTGGACTAGATCCTCTGCCCCTGCTAAGAAATCTTTGGTTGCTTGGAATAATGTCTGTCTACCTAATGTTTGTGGTGGCTGGAACTTGCTTTCTCTTCCTGAGTGGAATAAAGCAGCTGTCACCAAGTTACTCTGGGATATTGCTCACAAGGCTGATAATCTTTAGGTTAAGTGGGTCCATGTCTACTACTTCAAGCATAAACATTGTTGGACCACCCCTACCCCTACTAAATGCTCTTGGTTCTTGAAGAAGATTCTGAGTTGTAGAGATGTTGTGAATGATCAAGGAGGATGGGATGGTTTCATACAGGGCAACAAGTTGAAAATCAAGAAGCTTAATGTTGCTATTAGGCCTCAAGTGCCTAAGATTCCGTGGAAGAGAGTTATTTGACATAACTTAGCAACTCCTAAAAGTGTTTTTATCTTGTGGCTAGCATTGTGGAATAGGCTTGTCACTAAGGATAGGTTGCTTCAATGGCACATTTTTTTTATTGTGAATACTCTAGACAGGTTTGGAGCAAGGTGTTGGGTATCGTACATGATTCCAAGCATGTTCAGCAGTTTAGTGATAAGGTTGATTGGCTGAAGAAAATCTGCAAAAGTTCCAGATTGAAAAACAAAGTGATCCAGGTGGCCTTCACTGAAACAGTTTATGGTATTTGGATTCAGAGGAATGCAGTTCTGTTTACTGGTTGTTGCAAATATGTTGATGCTCTAGTTAGGGATATTGTCTTTTATTCAGTTTGTAGAATCCTGGCGGGAAGCAAATATTTGATCGTTTAGGAGCTTCTCCAGTTTTCTTGGTCTTCTGATGCTGTTGCTGGTTCTTGCTGATTTCTGGTTCCTAACTTTTGAGTTCTGGTTTCTGGTTTTTTGGGGTTGTTGCTTTAGCTGTTTTGCTTAAGTTGCTCTTGTAGCTCTATTTTTTATGCTGGTTTCTGCTGTTGCTTCTTCTTTCTTGTTGTTGCTGAATTTCAGTTGTAGTTGCTGTTTTTCTTGCTGCTGCTGACTTGTTTGCTTTGCTATCTAGTCTGGTTCTGCTCTGGTCAGCAGCTGTCTGTGGTAGGTGGTGTGCTGCAGCTGCTGGCTGCAACTGCTGTTGTCTGCTGTATGCCTGCCCTGCTGTACTGCTGCTGCTCTACTGCTGTGGCTGTTGTTGCCTACTCTGCTTGTTGTCTGCTCTTGCTGTGCTGGTCAGCAATTGTTGCTGAGGGCTGTTCTTTGCAGCAGTTTCTGTTGTTGGTGTTTGCTGCTGCTGCTCAGCTGCTGCTGCTGACTTGTTGTACTGCTGCTCCTCAGTTGTTGTTGTTGTTGCTTTTTGCTGTACCCTGCTTGTTGTGTTGCTGCTGTGCTGTTTAGCTGCAGGTGTTGCTGCTATTGTTGGAGTTGTTGCACTGTGCTGTAGCTGTTTTTTATGCTGCAATGGTCTATGTTGATGTTATTTTCTGCTGCTGTCTGTGTTGCAATGCTTTGATTTCATGTTCTTTGTTTGTTATTGTCCTTCGGTTGTTTTTTTTTACCCTCTTTTGTCTAGTCCTGTTGCTTTGCAACTGAGTCTAGGAGGTGGTTTGCCTTTTAAAGTTTACTGGGGTGGTGTGTTTTTGTTATTGCTCTGTGCTTGTCTTTGTGTTCTTGGGCCTTGTTTCCAGAACCCTGCCTAGAAGGTGGCTGGAAGCTTGTGCTCAAGGTGTTCTTGTCTCTTTCTCCTGTACCCTTCCTAGAAGGTGGCAGGAGATAGAGCTTGAACGGTTTGGTGTTTGGTTGGCTTGTTTGTTTGGTTTGGTGTTTGTTATAACTTAGCTTTTGTAAGTTGTAACTTTTCCTTTTGGTAATAAAATTTTCTCTTATTTTCCAAAAAAAAAAAAAAAAAACAAGACATGATCAAAGAAATAAAATAAATAACTAAGATTAAGAGAAGAGAAATTGTTACCAAAGAAATCCGGAATTAAGAATAAAGTTAAGAACAAAGTATATGAGAGAGAAACTAATCTAAAAGCTAAGTAGAGAGAGAAAATCTAAGAAATAATTAAGAAAGATTAAAAGAAGGTCCTAAACTCGCTTTACGGAAAAAAGTATTTATACTAAGCAAGAATCCTAAACTAAAACAAACTTAATCGCCGAAAATTAACTCCTTAAAATAACACGCACCCGATCGGGCGCGCCTTTTCCTCCGCGTACTCTTCTAAACAGCCGCGCCCCGATCGAGCTAGGAACTCACCCGATTGGGCGCGCCTTTGGCAACGCACCAGCACACTCTCGCGCCACGCTCGATCGAGCAAAGCTTGCCCGATCGGGCCCTTGTTTCACCTCGAGGCTTGGAACTTCGATTGGGCTTATTTCTTCGGCCCAATCAAGATATCCACTTAGGGTCTAGATCATTCGGTCCAAATACCTCTGTATCCCGGTTACCGAGTCTTTAATCACCGGTTCGATGGCTCTAACCGGCCCTGGGCTATAGAAACTGGTTGTGCTTCTCCAATGCTTATAATTGCTCCAAAATAGCACAGGAAAATGCTCCAAAAGTTTAAATCCCTACAAAAGTCAATCAAATCTATAAAAACACTAGAAAACACCAATTACTAATAAAAGTGGTTCTAAAGAGCCAAAAACACTACTAATTATGACCAAGGGACGGGGGTAAAACACTATATAAATTTAACATATCATGGATCTTGAGTATGTTCTAGGGTTTGGAATTGATTTATTTGTGATTAAAGTCTTTATATGGTTGATATTCTTCAATCTAATTGCAAAATGCATGTTGTTACTTGATTGGGAGTGAATTATTGTTAGAAGATGCGACAGCGGACCTAGCAAGATTCATTTGTATTGATTGTTATTTGATAGCAGCTCCTAGTATATGGTTCTAATGTGGAAGCATAGAGGCTATGTTAGGAGAAGCCAATGAACCCCGACAGGTGGTTAGATTGGACCTCTTATATCGATATTCGAGTATGTTAAGTTCATAATTTATTCAACTTCTATGCCTTTGTTCAAGCTTGAGTGATTGCTATTCCTAGACCATTTCCCTTAGTGTTTTACTTCTAGTTTTAGTGTGTTTAGACATTAGTTTATTTATCTCCGATTTTGGACTAGCTTAATTGTGGATAACATTTGGTGGTGTTTATTCGTTCCCTGTAGTTCGACCCCTATGCTTGCCTTGTACTCATATTAGGTTTGTTTAGGTTGTATAAATTGTATTTGATCTAGGGATAGGCATTTGACGACGCGTTTATTCCCTTGTTAATACTTTTCACGTTGCTTGATTATCGATTGAGTTGAAAGTGTGAAAAGTCTTGTGATGCAATCGTTTTAATAAAATCTTTTTTTCCGTTTTCCAAAATCTTCCCTATTTTATGAAAATAGCTAGTCCAATTATTTTGGTCCATGAAAAGGGTCCAATCATAGTGTAGTTGGGTCGAGCTCGTAAAGAGCTTTCCAATGACATATTATAAGCCTAATTCCGATGAATAATGAGGAAGTTATGGCCAAGATACTAAATTAGGTCTACAACGATTTTATGGCCCAATGGTCTAGTGGAGGGCCCATTAATTATTATTCCTAAAAATATTAGGATTAATTCTTATCTTCTAGAATAGTCTAGAAGGTTTTTTTTAGTTCTAATAGCATTAGGATTGATAATTATTTTTTGTAGAAAAATAATGAATTTGATTTTAAATAAAACAAGTATTTTATTTTGATATAATCTTATTCAAAACTAATTAAAACTAAGTTTAAATTGCTTAATTATATTAAGAAGAGGATTCCGTAGAAAAGCGTGTTTTATCTTTTAATTAGCGCTATACGATAAAGCTATTGCCAAACGACAGAGCCTGTCACCATGCGTGATGCTTGCATTGTCATGCAATTTTTACCAAACAAAACATCAATAATTTCTAAGAAGAATATAATAAATACATACTACATTGCCCTTGCAAGAAACATTTCATAGAAACACTAGCACAACAAGAATTATAACAAATATGTACGTGACCAATACAAACTTAGAAAGAAAAAAAAAGGTTGTATATACCTGTAGGGAATATTTCAAGCATTACCCCAAACTTGAACCACATTGTGATCATACACTTAAGCATGGTGGTGTCCAAAGGGAAGGAAGATGGAGCAAAAGAATCGCCAACAAGGTTAAGGAACAAGACTGGAAGTTCGGGGATGAAGGTACAAATCCAACCTAAAAGAGCTTGAACCTACCCTAATAATAGGCCTCTACTTTATTTTTCTCGTATTCATGTGCGCTTTCTGACTAACATTCAATCAATAGGTTTACCCTAAACCTGTTTATTTATGCTGGTTGAATATTAATGCACAAATAAATCTATTATTGGCGATCACTGGAATTATAATCAAATTAACCCTAAATAAGATTATTAATTATCTTATTAAGCTTGATTACAAGTACAAATTCCCTTTAAACACGCATAAAAGGTGTGATCAAGCAATAACAATAAATATAATCAAGCAACATAATAATAATAACAATTATAATCATAATAATCATGTTAAAAATAAAACATAATAACAATAAGATCCTAGGCATGATACTAACAAGATTAATAACAAATCATAGCATGTCACTAAACACTAAATCATATATACCACCACATTTCTGAGAGGGTGCGTCGTGGGATCACTGCTGGTAGGACGCGATGCCACGGATCGGGCAACAACACTCTAGGCAAGCTGTATTGGACATTCTTCAGCGTCGACGAGAGTTTGCGGCTTCTCTAGGAGTCTTGTGGGCTGACTGCCCTGTTTCAGGCCACGTAGGCCATGAGCTCTTTTGACAGAGGTCACCGTGTGGCTTGCGCCCTGGTAAAGTTCTCTAGGACACCACCAACACTTTTCACTTTCCTTGGGGTAAGATGATGGTAACCCCAGCCGACTTAAGTCTCATCTCGGGACTAGATTTTAGTTCGACTACGCTTTCGTTTGACAGCACCATCAGCATCTACTCTCCTGAGATTGATGAGCTGTTGGGTCCGATCGTTGTTCGGGCCCGTGCAAAGGTGGAGTCCTCAAATTTCAGCACCAAGTGCATTCCCCGGTCTTATTTGGCGGCAGCTTTTGAGGATGATGCGACCAACCGAGAGCAGCATATGCACATCTTTGCGCTTATTTTGCTGTCAAGGACGTTTTCCCCTGACA